AGGGTCTGCTAGCTAAGCTTAAACTTAACTAGCATGTCATCATTCATGGCAACTTACTATTAATTTGAGCTGTACACCAGAATGATTATAATATATACTGAACGTTTGACCCGTCTGGCACCATAATTCACATTTGAATAATATATAATACTCTTAAATTCCCTCCCGTCTGCTTTCCTTTCACGGTGTTCAGCAACGCATAAAGATAATCTCAGTTTAGCTGTTTTTATTCGCCTGTTATGTCAGACTTTTTTTTCATTTCCTACAACTTCGTCTCCGCCTGATTTGTTTACTTTGTTTACAAGAGGTCACCCACTCGCAGCTTGGTCTGACCTTTGCACGCGAGATCAACCACGGTCAGCTACCTCCTTGCGTGCAGTAAGGTCTGGAAGAACACTTTAGTTTCACTTTCTAGGATTTAAAAAATAATAATTTGAGTTAGATTCCGTACACTTCTCTTCTTGGTTTTAATCTCTGTTTGGATACTAGATAAGATGGATTCAAGGTTATGATATTTCTAGCACAGGGAGATTTGGACAGGGGGAGGGGAAAGGGAGGAGGGGACAGGCAGAGAGACATTACTGAGTCTCTCCGTGAAGGACATTGAAGTTTGACCTCGAAATAAACCGCCTTTGTTATTCTTAAAATTATGGAGTTCGATTACCTTACACACTTAATGAAATACTTCACTTGGAGCCAGATCTTCCAAGGGTTGGCGCTCCTGGTGGTAAAGCAAGCAATGTAATCCCTTCTATCATATTATCACGTGACTACCTTTTTAATCTCTTGCTCCCACGCCAAGTACGATCCGACCTCAGCTGACCTCACACGCCAGCCGGGGCATTCCTGGAGTGACTTGCCCCTCCGAGAGATCATCTGCCGTGGCTCGGGTAGATTGTGTTGAATATGGTGGTGGCGATGGCGAGCAGGACCACGTGGAAGAGGGAGAAGAGGTCCTTCGTCCCCGAGCCTTGCTGCATGGCCTCCGGGTGCTCACCTGCTGGGGCGCGGAGAGATGTCCTCATTAATAACAGCTTTATTTCAATTACATGTTACGTGGCAGGTATGGGATGTAGTATGTTTGAACTAGATTAACTAGATTTCAAATTCAGATGGATGATCCTATGAGCATTTGTGATGGATGTGTGATTACTTTCGATAATCATTCCCTCCTGTTGTTTATGCAAGTAAAACAGTCAACAATAGGCGTTATATATATATTCCGTATATGCAAAAAAGCATGGCTATACAACACACCTCCATACACACACACATGCGTGTGCGCGTATATGTGTGATTTGTCACCATGTAAGTGAATAAATCAGAACGAAACCTTTAACTTAAAATATTACTAAAACTTTCCAAGAATATAACACCGAAGAACATTTAAATCTTATTATGCTAGTTAAAAATTCAGGTCTAATGAACTTCCGCCTGAAGTTAACAGAATATGCTAGGCTAAGCAGTTAAGCAGGTTAAAGTATAATTGGAATGATTAATAATATATGTTGAATGTATAAAACACTAATACTTATATCATATATATAATAGAAAATGAAAGAGAATATTCCAAAATACAAAATGTTTGATTTTTTTTCTATATAAGCTTAATTTGACAAAATAAATTTTCTAATTAATCGTTTTGAACTGAATGAATATATCGAATTCGAGTTCAATAAATATACTGCATACGAATGATATACTGCAGTGGTAGCACATGGCAGAGCAAGATCTATCGCCGATTCATTTGCGAGTCCCACGTTGTAGTATCATCGTGCGTTGTCATTTGAGAAGAGATTATACAAAATTTAAAACAAATTGTAGCATATCTTCGAACCTTGAAATCTTATGTACATGTAGTAGTATGTAGCCTCACCGTTCCACATTTTCCCTCCACTCACTCCACATTTCTCGAAAAACTCACCATTTACCACTTCGTAGTTTTCATAATTACTCGCCGTTCACCACTCCACAGTTCTAATTAATAACTCACCGTTCAGCACGTGCACGAGAACACTGCCCGTGGCTACATCGCCCAACGAACAGGTGTAGTTGCCAGAGTCGCGTGGAGTAGCGTTTGCGATGAACAGGGTGGACACTATGACTGAACTGCTCATGTCGGTTTTCACGCTGGTTGGGGGAGAGGGCGAGTTAGTGAGTTAGTAAGAATGGATTAAGGTTGTGTTGGTAACTTGGTGAGCTTGGCTAATGCGGGTGACTTAAAGTAATTTGAGTTGTTAAAGGTGGTATGGTTCTAGTAATGTAATAATGTAGGTGTGGGTGACTTTATCTAAGTATTGGTAGTTCATAGCCGTGTGGCAAATAGAACAACGAAGGGATGTACAGGAAAACACACGAATATGCCGAAGGCCTTTTCGCATTTATTGCTTCATCGGGGCAAACCCTGATGCTTCTTCAGGGCAAACCCTAATGAATCAATACATGCGAAAAAGCCTTTGGTACATTCATGTGTTTTCCTGTAATTCCCTTCGTTGTTCTACTTGCAATTTGTTCGACACTAATTCCACAATAACCGTGTGGGTGACTTACGTGTGCGTATATAGAGTTAGTGTGGGCAGAACATTTAATTAATGTGATTTTAGGTAACAATTATTATGGGACTGACTAGCTGTATGATTAGACAGTATATGAGGAAATAAATGTTATCAAAACATGTTTCTGAAGAAGGGATAGATCAGTGGGGAAAATGATGATGGACGGAAGGTAAAAGGAAAAGGTGCGGAGGCTCGAACTCCAAATCGATAAACTAAATAAACAAATAGAAATTTCAAAATACTTATGATTGTGATGACAAATTACAAAATACTAAAGAGAGGTGGTACGACATGAAGACGGATAGACATATAGGATAGAATAATAGAAGAAAAAAAAGATAAAATATTCTACAATACGTTTACCACCACCACGCAGAACATTTAATCCTTTAGCCATCCTCCGGCTAAGCCACATATTATAACCTTGTAAACGCCTAACGATGTTTGCATTACATCGAACAAATGTGTACTATTAGCCATTGTTTACACCGACTTTGAGAGCTATTATCGAAGGCAGCGAAGGTAAACACTATAGTAGAAGACCATGTTTATTTTTTCTTTCTTTTTTTATCCTCTTCATCATCATCAATAATAATAATGATAATAATAATAATAATAATAATGATAATAATAATGATAATGATAATGGTAATGATAATGATAACAATGATGATGATGATGATAATAATCCTGGATAAAAGCGTTTTTTAATAAATCAAACCGTTTCCTGGTCTACAAGATTCAATTATGTGTGTCTTTTCTACATGCACGTGATATACTTTGAATGACTGATGTTACAACTTTTTTGTATTTACTATACTATTTTCTAACTATATTTGCTATTCAATTTTACTATACTATTTATCATTATCATAATCATTATCATTACCATTATCATTATCATTACCATTATCATTATTATTATTATTATTATTATTATTATTACTATTATTATCATTATTATTATTATTATTATTATTATTATTATTACTATTATTATTATAATTATTATATTTTGAGACTCATCATTATCATCATCAATATCATTATCATTATCATCATCATTATTATTATTATTACTATCAATATCATCATCGTTTTCATTATTATTACCATCATCATCATCATTATTTCATTGTTATGATTATTGCTTTAATGACGTTGTCGCTAACCTTGTTGTCAATATCATAAGAACATCAATACAAAAAAATAATCATAAGCACATAACCCCAAATCCAGTGTAATAGTTTTGATATAAAAATCCACTTTCTAAAAATAAAATGAATGTTTTTGTACAGTCAGAATATAATTCAGACATAATATTTTTAACAAGACTTTTATGGCTTGGAGAATAACATGCAGCAATAAATGAAGTCATTGTTTCCATATCTGAATTTACATCTAACATATATTTTCTGAGCAAAGTAAATGTTGAAAATAAACCACAAGGGATGATAGCAGAGAGAGACAGTGTTGGATATAATGGCATTTTGTCACAAGCAAAACAGTAAAATGGGGATTTGTTAAACATTCATGGAATTTTGCATATTTCTCGCCTTCCTCTTTATTTGCGGGTATATTTTCCTTTAATATTAGAATAGTGCTTGTTCATATATTCTAACTATAAATGTAAACCTATTGCTTAATCCTACGTATGGAAAATCATAGATCTTTTGTCAGAATAAATATATATATATATAGATTCGTTTTATTCGCCACCGTAAAACTCATGAACTCCATATTTAACATACGACTGACGACTAAATATATACCATACAATCTCCCTCCATCCGTTAGACATATAATGTAAATCTGCCTACGGTAAATATATACTTAACGTTAAACCCCACTTACAGGGTATTTGAAAATGGCTTCGAAGGGCAACCAGTCTCCTCAAGTACCCACCCCGATTCCCACTCAACAAGTAAACCTTTTCACCACCACCCTTGTCCCTCCCCCTAACGCATCGTTCTATCCCCATAAATAACGAGCTGTTCCGCCCCCCCCCCCCACACACACACACCCCTTCCTCCCTCTCCCTACTTTTATTCTTAAACCTCTACCCTTCTTCCCTATTCGCAATAAATAACAGACCACTTTCAACCCCCTTTCCCTCCCTCCCTCCTTTCCCTTACCTTTCCCCCCCCCTCCTCTACCTCCTCATACCCCGTCCTACTCCCACGTCCCCTCAGATACGTGCTTAACCACCCCTACCCTTAACTGCAACTTCCCCTCACTGCGCCACACTCGAACATCCCCGTACATCCCTCTCGACCCCTAATATCGAACTGAACATCCAATATATCCCAATCTCCATCCCGCCCACATATCCAATCCACACCAGGATCTGACACACGCCAATGTTAAAACCCATCCACCTTCCAACCCACCCTAATATCCAACCTATCCCTACATTCAAACTATCCCAGGATCCAATCCATTCAA